AAAAAAAAAGAAAAAAGAAAAGAAAAGAATGTAACTGTTCTCAGTTACATTTCCAGCAGCCAGACCAGAGAAGGTGGATGGTGGGGATGGGCTGAGGAGATGATGTTCAGGGATCTGTAGCAGACAATTGTTTCGGAAGGTCCCAGATCCATTCCCCTTTATTTAGTTAATGTGTGCAGTGCCCCAGTTCATCTTTGGGAACCTCTACTTTCCCAGCCTCAATTCCCAGTGATTTGGGTGGGCTGACAGCGATCCCATGTCCAGGGCTAAGCAGGAGACCCAGGTCTAGCTAATCAGTGTGTCACAGCTACAGGCAAAGGAATAAATTCCCCAGGGCCCTGATACCCCAATCAGTTCAATGGGCTTCACCTCCTGCACCATTTCTGTCACTGTTAGGAAAGTCAAGTCAGGCCAGAACCGTGGCTCACATCTGTAATCCCAACACTCTGGAAGGCCGAGGTGGGCAGATTGCCTGAGCTCAGGAGTTAAGACCAGCCTGGGCAAGAGTGAGACCCCCCCCATCTCTAAAAATAGTGGTGTGTTGGCACCTATGGTCCCAGCTGTTCCAGAGGCTGAGGCAGAAGAATCGCTTGAACCCAAGGGCTTGAGGGTGCTGTGAGCTATGATACCACAACACTCTACCAAGGGCAAGGAAGGGAGACTCTGTCTAAAAATAAATAAATAAACAAGAAGTCATCCTTCTGATGGAAGTGTCAGCCAAAAGTGGGAAGCAACCCGAAGATTCTGGGAACTGCCACCTTTTCCTGCTCAACACTGTCCGTAGTTTTATCCAGTAATGTCCTGGAGCTGGGTGGGAAAAGGGAGGAGACATCTTAGCAATATAGACATCTGAGCTAATACAGGGAGGAAAATCTAAGTTTTTTCATCTATGCATATAAGAAGATAAGGGCAGTGTCTGCATTCCTGAATGGTTCCTGCACCTGCCTGGAGCAGCTTTTTGGGTATAGTCATTCATTCCTGCGTCACAAGAATATATATATGAGAACTATCTTTTACTATCTATCCTATTCCTTTTGTTGTTACAAGGTCCTCAAATACTCAAGGCTGTGTTTAATCCAGTTTCTTAGGCCTAGCTGAATTTTCCACAGGGGGAAATGCCCTTTTTGGGCACTTGTTGCATCTCTGGTAAACACTCCTACCACCACGGTATCAACAATTTAACAACTTGTCGGCAAAACTTTTGAATGTTGGCTCTTACAAGCTGGATCCTGCTTGAATACAACACTACTTAGAGAATTTAAATAACTTTCCAAGGGTCAGCAAGCCAACAAATATTTAGTATAAATAGTATAAAGATTGCAAATAGAATGATTCATTTTGCCTGAAAAAACTTCAGAAAAACTTCAGCCAGAAACTTCATCAAGAGAGTTTCTGGTGGCCAACATAATACTAAACAGAAATTTATACCGTGTGGTATGAAAGCCTTCAATGTCTTCACTTTAGAATCAGCTAATGAGTGTTGAGGCAGACATGGGAAGTTTTTTAGTCTCTTAAAAGTCTTAGGTGGGATTTGGATGGATATTCACTGCCAATATTATTACAAGCACATGACAGAAAAGGGATTTAAACAGCTGAATACCAACAAAGTTGCAGATGGGGCTTAAGGAGTGTGAGAAATGCTAACTTTA